GTATCGAAAATGGTATCGAGTATCGAACATTTTCCTTGGTATCGGTATCGAGTTGAAAAGTTTAGTATCGTGACAACCCTAATATATACATACATACAGGGTTATTGCAAAGGGTATTTCAATGGGCATTCAAATAGATGGGTATTTGTACATATAACAATATAGACCACAGCTAATGTTTTCTATGATTTTATACATGAAAACAAAATCTAACCAAATTTAAATTCCTGCACACACGTCTTTTTTTACTTCTTAAGTAGCTTGTTTTAGATTAATATTGACTAAAATGGTTTTAGCTACAGAGGTTTCTTCTGTCAGCATCCCGAAAACTTCAATCATGTCTGGCAGTTTCTACATCCAAGAAATAACAGTATAATCAAAGCTGATTTTCTTTTCTAAAAGGTAAGAGTAACGTGGTCTCACTGGTTGGTACACTGCTGCTAAAATTGTGTGTATGATGTGGGAATAATTCTCTGTTGCGCATGTGCATGCATTCGTATTAAAACAATGTATACTGATCTGACAGAGTATGTTTTTCTGACAGAACAATGGGTGTGTGTTTTTCTTTTTTTTTAACAAAAACATTTCCAGTGTTTAATCAAGGCTGGCACTAAAGCCCAATTTAAGTTTCAAATAAGGAACCAGAAAGCCAAATAAAATCACAAATATATGGAAGTAACATCTCATCTAGTAAATATTTGCTCCTATTCCCATTGTATTCTGGATATGTGTAGAGAAAATAGATATTTTAACAACACTAACTGTAATGTTTATTCCTGGAACACGTACCTCCATATACAACCATATCAAAATTTATGAAGCACTGGTATAAACAGTATGTGGTGTTTGTGAACGCTTCACAATCCCAACCAACTAATATCTAATAGGTATTCAGAGCTCCTTTTCAAGCAGTGGTTGAGAACCAGAGGCATAGCCAGACATTTTTTATAAGGGTGGCCAGGCAATAACCAACGTACACTGAAGGGTGGCCGAAAGTGGATAGGCACCAGAACCTCACGGTCTACACTGTTCCAACAGGACAATTAACGAGCAAAACATCCCTATTTCCTAAATAAAGACTAACTATACTTCCCTACAGCCTTTGCTAACAAATAGACGCATATATTTAAACATCCGTAATTTCTATATAAAAGGTATAGTGGACAGAACTCAGTTTTGAGTTGTCTGGTGTAAATCAGTCATCATTGTCATTACTTACCTACTTGTATCAATAAACATTCTGCATAAAATGAATATTTACGAGCACTAATATCTACATAAATTGATTATTTTATAATTTTTTTTATTTAAATTGTTATTTACCTTTGATTTTACTGAAGACTCCTAGATGACTTGAGAGACACATTTTTCTCTTTACCCCATAACACAAAATGTAGGTCTGAAAAGAGTATCAATTCTCTACTTATCATCTTTGATGTTAGTATATTGATGTTTATAATTAACCATAAAAAAAAAATTATGTTTTGAATATTCCACTATCTGTATTAGAGGAAACAAAATGGTAGCGGTGGCCACAAGGGTGGCCAATGATTGGCTAAGGGATGCCATGGCCACCCCTGGCCCCCTATTTAGCTCTGCCTCTGTTGAGAACAAAGGTAAAAATAACGTAGTGGAATAAACAGAAAACAGTGGCTGTAAAGGGCAGTTCCATGTGTAATGACCTACTTAAAATGCCTGACAGGTGATCTAAAATAAGCGATTAAGATAAGGGATAGTGAGCTCATGCTAATAACAGCTCTTATAGAGATGACCTCTGCTTCTATCTTAAATTGGCAGGGCAAAGTTTAAGGTAACTGAAGAATTTTCCTTTCACCGACCCGACTAGGAGTAGGTCCTGACAGGAAGCGCTCAGTGTCAGCTCTGAATAAAACAACTAACAGGTACATTTGTACATTTTGGAAATGCTGCTTCTTCCCTTCATCATGTCGAACAATTTACAGGCTTATTACGATCAATAATTATATCTCTCTTAAGTCTGAACAAAACAATGAAAAATTTTCAGGGCTTTAGCTACATTTAGAGGAAGCAGCCATTAATATAGAAAGTTAAGAAAGGCCTTTAATACCCTTTTTGAGGAAGTAGAACTGTACTCTCTGTTAAAATGACTGTAAGGCAAAGAAACAATGCAGCAGAAATGAGGAATCACTCCAGGGTGGAGTCTTTAGTTTTTACACTGCTGATACAAATATGAAACATGCAGCTATATAGGTTATATAGGTTAAACATGCAGCTATATAGGCTATATATATAGGTTAATTATATGTAGTATAATTAACAATGCACAGAAACAGTAAAAAAACGGTGTGGTTACATAAAGGTCACACAGATCCTAATTATGTATGCAACATACACAAACTTTATACCGTCTATTAGAAGTCAGTTATTTAAGTTGTTAATATAAAGTTTTACTTGTGTTTCAGAAGGAGGCCTTAAATTAAGTCAGTAAAAACTAAATGTAGTCTTATTACTTCCCAAAGGTGAGCTCAGGTAAGACGTTCATTCAAAACAGCAGGCAGCCAACTAACCCGGACACCATCAGGTGCTTAACACCGCGCCGCACCTAGAAGCAGGCGGACCCGCTGCAAGGAGAGCAAGTTAACCATAATAACCTAGTTTAGTCTTCGAGGCGACAACAGGCTCACCTCTCTGCTGTTTGAACAGCCGCTTTTCCTCAGGTCGTCACATTTCAGTCCGTTTTTGCTGGAGGGGGGTTTTAGCTCCGCGTCAGAAGTTCTTGCCATGTCTCTGTTAGAAACGCGCTCCGTTCAATGACAACCAGCGTGATGGTTACTAAACTACCAAAGGTGACTTCCTCGTTCTGATGTTTCGGTTCAGCCTCTTTTTTTTTTTTCTTTTTTTCTTTTTAGTAAAGTTTTGTTGTTGTTGTAAACGCATCTAAAGAGATTCCAGTCTTGACTGATCCAAGTGTTTTCTCTTTCATTACAGTAAAACTGGAACTTCTAGTTATTTAAAAGTAAACACCCCTGACACCTTAATGCATTATTTTTGTTTTACATCATAGCAAGACGCTGGAAACATTTTGTTTTTACTGTAATTAAGTAGTCTAAGTATATATATATATATATATATATATATATATATATATATATATATATATATATATATATATATATATATATATATATATATATGGTATAGGGTATTTACATGGGTATTTATATAGATTGGTACATATAGCACTACAAACCACAGCTAATGTTTTCTATGATTTTATACATGAAAACAAAATCTAACCATATTTAAATTCCTGCACACGTTTTTTTTTATTACTTAAGTAGCTTATTTTAGATTAATATTGCCCAATCTGATTTTAGCTACAGAGGTTTCTTCTGTCAGCATCCCGGAAACGTAAATCATGTCTGGCAGTAAAAAAAAAAAAATAAATAAA